GGGCAGGAAGGGGAGAGAATGAATGAGGCTGGGCTGCTGAACCGTACTAGATTTTTTCCCGCGGACAGACGAAAGAAGCCATGGTGAGGCAGGGAGAACCAAAATCTGAAACGCCATCGTATCGCCATCTTTCTACAGGAGCATCAATCACAGCAACATGAGCGACAACTTCTAGACGACGTCCCCACCCTACCAATGTCTCATGACCCTAGAACGTAGGCCTATCCTCAACTTCCATCTGGTACCCCTAAAACAGGACGGGGGAAACAAATAAATACAAGCGGAAACGCCACCAGGCCGTGTGAAGACCTCATGACGCCAGGGAAAAGAGGAACAGTCCCAAGCTGTAGTGGTGTGGGCATGTCTTACGATGGTCTAGACTGGACAGGACCGTCCTACTACAGGGAACAGCACAAAGGAGGGGGGGGGGGAAGTAAGAAGCAGACCGAGGAGACGATGGGGGGAGACAAACAGTCACAAACTGCAGTGGTAGGACACTAAGGACCTCACACGATGGGGAGGACGGACAGGACTGTCCTACTTCAGGGTACAGCACAAGGAGGGAGAGGAAGAGGCAGACCGGGTAGGCGATGGGGAAAGATAACATCAGAGTGGACTAGACAGGACTATCCTATAACATGGAACTGCAAAAGGAGGGAGAGGAAGAGGCAGACCGAGGAGACGAAGGGAAGACAACATCAAAGAGTGGACGGCCGTGGCTGGAGCGTCATACTTCGGATATCTGCGAGGTGAGAGGTGTGGGAGAAGCTGGTTTGAACAGGTACAGCGGAGGCCAAGTGGTTAGTCAGACTACGGGATAAGTGAAGGTGAGGGTGAGGGTTTAAGGTGAAAGGTGGAGGTGAAAGTCAATGGTGAAGGTGAAAGGTGAAATCTGAAAAGTGAAATCTAAAAAGGAGGAGGTGGAGATGAAGGTGAAGGTGGAGGTGGAAATGAAAGGTATACGGTGAAAGGTCGAAGGTGAAGGGTGGAGGGTGGTTGTGAAAGAGGAAGGGTGGAGGGTGGTGGTGAAAGGTAAAAGTTGAAAGGTGGAGGGTGAAGGGTGAAGGGTGAATGTGGAGGGTGAATGTGGAGGGTGAATGTGGAGGGTGAAGGGTGAATGTGGAGGGTGAAGGGTGAATGTGGAGGGTGAAGGGTGTAGCGACTGACCTGGAATCGCCCTGTCCTGCGGTGTTTGATGAAGTAGATCTTGGTCACGTGCCCGTAGTCCCGGGCCAGGTGCAGCAGTGACAGCTCCTCCATGTCTAGGGGCAGTCGCTGGATACACACCATGTGGTCGTCACCTGTCACATGACACATACTCGTGACACACACACACACACATACACACACACACACACACACATACACACACACACACACACACACGCACACACACACACACACACACACATGTGACACATGTCTAGGGGCAGTCGCTGGACACACACCATGTGGTCGTCACCTGTCACATGATACATACACATGGCACACACACATGACACACATACATTACACATACACATGACACACATACATGACACATACACATGACACACACATGACACATACACATGACACACACATGACACACATACATGACACATACACATGATACACACATGCACATGACACACATACATGACACATACTCATGACACACACACATGACACACATACATGACACATACACATGACACATACACATGATACACACATGACACACACATGACACACACATGACACACACATGACACACACACATGACACACACACATAACACACACACATGACACACACACATGACACACACACATGACACACACCATGTGGTCATCACTTGTCACATGACACACACATTTTACACACACTTCTGACACATGTGACACATGTCTTAAGGCAGTCGCTGGACACACACCATGCGAACGTCACCTGTCACACACCATGTGGTCGTCACCTGTCACATGACACACACCATGTGAACGTCACCTGTCACATGACACACCATGTGATCGTTACCTGTCACATGACACACATCATGTGGTCGTCACCTGTCACATGACACACACCATGAGATCGTCACCTGTCACATGACACACATCATGTGAACGTCACCTGTCACATGACACACACCATGTGATCGTCACCTGTCACATGACACACACCATGTGATCGTCACCTGTCACATGACACACACCATGTGATCGTCACCTGTCACATGACACACACCATGTGATCGTCACCTGTCACATGACACACACACTATGTGGTCGTCACCTGTACGAAGCGACACATTTGACACATAGGTCTGAGGCCCCTTTGCACTTCTAGGAGAGCTAACTCGGAGAAGTCAACCATTTAAAAAAAGGCCGATAATCTCCTCTCTTGTCGTCCTCATACACACGTCGGCCAATAACAACTGGTACAATGACATACTAACCCAAAAGAGCCGACGAACATCTCAAAATGTGAAACTAGTCATGGTGGAGTTATACTAAAAAAGTAGGAGGTACACGTACATAAAGAGTAGTTGGGCCATGGGGACTGGGTAAAGAGAATGAACGTGGGGAACAACTGACAGAATGGTGCAGAGAAAATGATTATGATTTCAAACAGCAGGTGTGAGAATCACCCAAGAAGACGACACACTTGCAGGAGCACTGGAGACACAGCTAGAAACGTCTATGAAATACGCCATACTTATTCAGAAACATTCTTAAACGCAATAAAATCTTCTAAATCATTGCCAGGAGCAGACTGTGATAGTGACCATGTACCAGCCATGTGCAAAATGCAGATGGGAGTAGAAAAAAAAAACGACTTTAAAAGTCAAAGCGCCAATGCAACCCAAATTTGAAATAGATCTTTTAAAGACAAATTAATAATTGAGAGAACGTTTCGGTGTAGATGAAAGCATTACATGTCAAGCCCGGGAAAACATAACCAAAGGGGAGGAACTGGAAGGGAAATGAAAGATGCAATAAAGAAAGCTGTGGAAGAATGTATCCCTCCACCCCCACCCGAAGCAAAGCTTAGGAAGCATATTTAAAAATGGATGACCCAGGACGTATAAAAATTAATGGAAGAGAGAAGAAAGGCAAAATGAGATGTGGAAAAGTACAACTTCGTAATTAGAGCAACAAAGAAAAGGTGCGGGGAAGCAAAAGAAACACGGAGAAATGATCAGCGTCAACACACACAGAAGAACGCAAGCAAAGAGAGCAAATACATGCATTCCAAAACAAGGAAGTTACGGAAATAAAAACATGCTCAAGTGCAGGGTGCATAAGACCAAGAGAATGAGATTTTTAATGGGCAAAGGCTCTCGGACTCGCAACCGTAAGGTCGTGGGTTCGAATCCCGTCAAGGGCCCGACGTTGTGTCCTTGGGAAAGGCACTTTACACGAATTTTCCTCACTTCACCCAGGTGGGAATGGGTACCCGGCTATAAACAGCGAAAGATCTTGTCAGTTTGTTAGTGTTTGAGCGCTTAATCGGCTGCTCGCACTGTATGCTTCCCGGGAAGCTGAGAATGTTTCGGAGTATTCTATGGTCTGCTGGGGTAATGATACAGTATAAAGCGCATAGAGCCTGCTGTTGAGCGGGGATATGCGCTAGACAAATGCTATCTATTATTATTATTTTAAAGGGTGTGTATAAACAGATGGCCAGAATATATAGAATAACTTTTCAAAGATATAGGCCTAGAGGAGAGGAACCGGTCACAAGAAAAAGAAATAAATGGACCGCCAATAATGAAAGCCCGAGTACAACAAGCTGCCTTTAGGAAAATGAAACAAGGAAAAGACACAGGCCCAGATAATTCTCCCAGCTGAAGTGCCTGTCGCGCTAGAAGGACTAGACTCTGGAATAACAGCACAGCTCTTAAATCTAATATACGGCAGTGGTGAAATTCCTTAAGTTACAATGGTGTCAGTTTGTATAGCATTACCTAAAACGCCAGGTGCCACTGAGAGTGATATGCATAGAACAATTAGCCTGATCAGTCATTTGGCAAAACTTTGCTGCGGGAATTAATTGAAAGAAAGAGAAAACACACACACACACACACACACACACACACACACACACACACACACACACACACACACACACACACACACACACACACTTACACGACACCTCACCACCCTCCTTCGTCTTCCTCCTGCCGCTGTTGCTGCTGCTACTGTTGCTGTTGCTGCTGCTGCTGTTGCTGCTGCTACTACTGCTGCTGTTGCTAGAAGCCTGTGGTGGTATGCCAGGGCCAGAGTGCCGTGGTGATGGTGGTGGTTGTGGTGGGGGTGATGATGGTGGTGGTTGTGGTGGGGGTGATGATGGTGGTGGTGTTGGGGTAACCGTTCTGGTGGTGGCCGGGGCTGCTGCTCTTGGCTGAGAGATAATCAGAATAACAAGAGCAACAACAATAATAATAATAATTATATAGTGTATATATTGACCACCACTTATCAATGGGCTCGTTTGTAGGATCTCTGTCCAAATCCCTTTATTTTCAGCTGAGAAGGATAGGCCTGGTTCGAAAGTACTTAAACGAAGAGACCACAAAAACACTGGTAACATCTCTTATCCTATCTAGATTAGACTATTGTAACTCACTCCTAGCAGGTCTGAACAACAAATAGTTGAATCGTTTACAAGTAATTCAAAACAATGCCGCTAGACTGATAACAAGATCTAAAAAACGACACCATGTCAATCCATTATTAAAAGAACTGCATTGGCTCCCTGTAAAAGAACGAAAAATATTTAAAATCTGCGTCATGTGTTTCAAATGTGTAAATAAAACTGCTCCTTTTTATCTACAAGAACTTATCAGTATATATAAACCAAGGAGAAACCTAAGATCATCAAACGATAACACCCTACTTGTGACACCTGTAAAATCATACAAATCATATGGAGAGAGATCTTTCTCATATCTTGGTCCATTTATGTGGAACAGATTGCCCATGAAACTAAGACAAATAAGAACACTTGATAGCTTCAAAAGACATTTTAAACATTTTCTGTTCCTACAGGCCTATCCTTCATAAGTTTTTAACGTTATCTTTCATTATAATTGTTCTGTTCTGGATGAAAATAATCTGTGTGTGTGTGTGTGTGTGTGTGTGTGTGTGTGTGTGTGTGTGTGTGTGTGTGTGTGTGTGTGTGTGTGTGAATGTGTGTGTGAGTGTGTACATTAATGTATATTGCATGAGAAGAAAGGAAGTAGTAAGAAAGGTTTTTGAAAAATGGGTATTCCAATGTAAAGCGTATTGAGCTACTTTTTGTGTGAAAATGCGCTATATAAATGTTATATTATTATTATTATTATTATTATTATTATTATTATTATTATTATTATTATTATTATTATGATGATGATGATGATGATGATGATGATGATGATGATTTTTTGAAAAGATAAATGATAATTTTCTATACGGGCTTTACAGCTGTCATTACCCCAGCAGACTCAAGAGCAGCCCGAAACATTCGCGGCTTCCTGGGAAGCATACAGTGCAAGCTATGTTCGAGCTGCAGATTTACAAGCGCTAAAAAAACACTAAAATAACTGACAAGACATTTCGCTGTCCATAGCCGGGTATCCATTCCCACCTGGGTGAAGTGAGGAAAATTCGAGTAAAGTGTCTTTCCCAAGGACACAACGTCGGGCCCTAACGGGCGGGGTTCGAACCAACGACCTTTCAGTTGCCAGCTCAGCAGCCTAACTTGTAAAGACAAAAGATGGAGCCTCAGAATTCAGAACATTCAATAATAATAATAATAGACAGCATTAATATAATTGTATAGCGGAATCCCCGCTCAACAGCAATCTCTATGCGCTTCACAATCTATACTGTTACCCCAGCAGACCTGAGAGCATTCTGAAACAACCTCAACTTCCTGAGAAGCATACAGTGCAAGCTGCCATTTATAGATGCTACAACACTAACATACATTCCCCATGTTTTTTTTTCCCAACTGAACAAACTATCCACACCAACAACCCCCCCCCCCCCTCCCCGACACGGAAGGAATCTCGCACTCCCACACACTTGATCTGCGACAAACATCGGCGATCATGGTTCTCCCTTCATTCCTTTGCTCGGATGCTCTAAAAAAAAGCTACGTTTCCCTGATCTTTCCCTGTTACCCATTTGTTTAGGTTCCCTAAGTAGGTAGCGCTTGGCCTACCCCTGCCTCATCTGCCTTAAATTTTGCCAGTGAGAGCTAGATGTTCAAGAACTTTATGTCTATTCAGGTGTCCCAAAAACTGCATTTGTCATTTCCGGATTGTTTATAACTGGGAGCATCCCACGCGGGCTTCATCAAGCACTACCTCATTTGATTTCTTTACCGTATTTGGCAATTACCTGCTATGATCTATTTGTGGTGGCAGAATTTTGCTATTCCAAAGGCTTTTTAATGGCAGCATCGATCGAAATGCGGTTTTCGCCAAAAGATTCTTTAAAATATTCTCCAGATCATGACGCCCTTGGTTTTTTTTTTCAGTTTTGAGACAGTTTTGCTGCATGAAGCTAAATTTATTTATTTCGCCGATGGCTTTTGTAGGCCGACGCTGCTGTCTTTGTAATTTTAGAAAACGAGGCGCATTTTGACTTGAGAGTATAGATCTAAACCTTATAGTTTTTCGCATCTCTCAATATTTATTACCCATTCCAGTAGAGTATAAATATAGTAGGCCAATGACTTCTGCTGATACTAAAGCCTCGATCATTCCTTTCATCGAAAGGGGACCAGCTAGTATGTTATATAAATAGTACAATGTTAGAACCAGTCTGATTCCCGAATGTGTGTGTGTGTGTGGGGGGGGGGGGGGATTTGTTTACCGAGTACCTCGATTTTTCTGCTCAGATATTATATCTCTCTCAGCCTGGGTCGGCCCTGACAGGCAGGATCGGAAGCCCGCCCACTAAATGATCTAAATGGAGCCGTAGGAGGTGTAAAAAAGCATTTACGTTTAAACAGAAGACGCACAGAGAGAGAGAGAGAGAGAGAGAGAGAGAGAGAGAGAGAGAGAGAGAGAGAGAGAGAGAGAGAGAGAGAGAGAGAGAGAGAAGGCGAACACACTGAACGACCCTGTTCTCCTCACCTGTGCCGTCGTCTCTCCCTCAGGCCTGGTCTGTCCTTGACCTTGAGAATCGGTCAAGACTTGACCCTGGACATAACCCTCTGGTGTGGGTTCCACGACTTCCAGTGACCTATCGCCCTGACCCACAGACGGTGACCTTCGACCCCCCCTCGGCTCCACGGACACCGGAACCTGCCTGTCATGTGACGTATGCTGTCTGGAAGTGGGGAGGACAACCGCGCCGGGGGAATAACTGCTTGATCTTTCTCCGACTGACTCCGCCCTTTCTCCGACTGACTCCGCCCTTTCTCCGACTGACTCCGCCCTTTCTCCGACTGACTCCGCCCTTTCTCCGACTGACTCCGCCCTTTCTCCGACTGACTCCACCCTTTCTCCGACTGACTCCGCCCTTTCTCCGACTGACTCCGCGCCGTCTCCGCCTGACTGCGCCCTGTACATCTCTGTGACGGGTTCACAGACGGGCAGGTTATCGTGTCGCCGTGTGGTGTTGAAGTTGAAAGAAGGACAGGCCCAATGGTGCGGCTCTCGCCGGTGTCGGGGAGATATGTCTCTCGCGGCCACCAGCTCGCCCAGTGTGATCCTGCCAGGGTTGTGGCTGTCTGTGTGCGGCCATGCGGCTCTCCCTGAGTGTGTGTCTGCCCCCTTGGCGGTCACGTGATTGTCTTTGGACGGCCAGGCTCTCCCTGTGTGTGTGTCTGCCCCTTCATCGGCCATTTGATTGTCTGAGGCCTGGATCTGTGTTTCTGCCCCCGCGCTTGGCCCGTGGTTTCCTCTCACAGCACACGGCCGCGGGGCCTCTCTTTTATTCATGGCAATGTTCCCGGTGTGTACGCCATGTCTCGCTCTCTGTGTCTCGTGTGCTACATCAGAAGGGACTTGACTTACGATGTTCTGCCCGCCCCGCACGTCTCTTTGGTGGTGTTGTTGCTGTTGTAGTTGTTGTTGTTGCTGCTGCTGCTGCTGGTTGTGGTGGTTCAGCTGCTGCATGTACGGTATCTGGTTCGAGTACGCTTGAGGACACTGAGGGATCAGGTCTGACGCCACAAAAGCCTGGTCATGTGGGGTGTGGTCCAGTGTGGCGTGGTGCAAGCTCTGGTCGCTTGGGGCGTGGTCCAATCTCTGGTGTGGCACGCGGCGGCCGCCTGACCTTTGACCTCTCTGACCGGACACCCTGCCCTGTGGGAGGAGGTCACACGATGGAATCAAGGTCACGACCCCTCCGTGTTGTGTCAGGTCCCCGCCGGGGGCGACTCGCTGTGAGATGTTCCTGGGGGTCAGACATCTTGTCGTGGTCAGACATCTTGTCGTGGTCAGACATCTTGTCGTGGCCGGTGACGTGTGCCCGGGTGGTGGGACAAGTGACCACCTGTTGGGGTGAGCTGTGGGTTGTGGGCGGAGTGAGTGCGTGGTGGGTTGAGCTGTTGATGTATCAGGTACACCCCTCGAGGCTTCCTGCTCACACGTGAAGCTTTCCTTGTCGTGAGACAAACCAGGCTGCACGTGTTGCTCAGGACAGCTTTCTACATCGGGTGTATCCAAACCGTTTATGTTGCTGTGCATATACTGAGGAAGTGCCTCACCTCTCTCCACCCGCTCGGCAAACTGTTCCCGGCAGACAGACAGAGATCTCATAACCCCACACTGACCTCTGTGACGTGTGCCCACAACATGCTGGCCCGGTGTGAGTTGTGTGTGGTGACCTGGCCGTGTGTCGGACTCACCAGCCCCCTCATGGTACAACAGCCGTGTGTGTTCTTCTCTGAGTGGATGGATCGATCGACGTGGTGGGTCTTCTTCAAGACCGTTTTGTGAGCGCTGCACGCACACGCTGGTGAGTAGATCCCGGCTGGTCGGTAGATCATGAGCGATGCCGTTGAGGCAGAGAGCACTGTCTACGTCATCAGAGCATGTGAAATCTGGAGCAACGGACAGCACAAGTTGCTCACCATCTCCAAAATCAACAGGCCCTAAATGCTGATGATGATGTTGTTGATGCTGCTGCTGGTGATGTTGCTGTTGGTGATGATGATGATGCTGTTGATGCTGTTGATGTTGTTGATGTTGTTGCTGCTGGTGTTGGTGCTGGTGCTGTAGATGCTGCTGCTGCTGTTGCTGTTCTTTCCCGCTCACAGATGTATTATGCTCAGGTGTTGCCCCGTCACCAAAGCCGACGTGAGTTGTTCCAGGCGGAGTCCCGGACTCTCTCACTCTGAGATCACGCGCGTACTGGGCGCAGTACCCTCGGGTCTCCAGGAGGGGATGACAGAGTGCGTGCATGACGTGAGTCGCTGGTCGTGTGCTCACCTCTGACCCCCGGGCTGTTGGAACATCACCAGGCAGTTGAGACAGACAGGGTGGGGCGCGTGAACGGCACTCACCATCCAGAACTCTCAGTGTGTCTTCAAGTGTTTGAGAACCGGCAGGAGCAACGCCTTGTTGGATGGCTTTGTTGTTGCGACGTTTTTCTGGTAGGGTGGGGCGTTGTCCGTCGTGGGACGGGGGGGCAGGCTGTAGCCGTGTAAGGTCCGGTTGCTGTTGCTGTTGCTGATGTTGTTGTTGTTGCTGTTGCTGATGTTGTTGTTGTTGCTGTTGCTCATATTGTTGTCCTTGCAGTTGCTGTAGCTGATGTTGTTGTTGTTGTCCTTGCTGCTGCTCCGATGTGTGCTCGTGGAGCAAATCGTGATGCTGTTGTAGTTTCTCAAGTTGCAACTGTTGCTGCTGTTGTTGTTGCTGCGATTGCTGTTGATCATGCTCTGGTAGATGTTGCAGTTTCTGGAGTTGTTGTTCTTGCAGGTAGAACGAACGCAATTGTTGCTGCTGCTGCTGTAGATAAGGATGGAGATGATGATGTTGCTGCAGCTGTGCCAGCTGTTTCTTGTGGGTCAGCTGTGACAGATTCATCGACTGTTGTTGCTGTTGTTGACGCTGTTGCTTCTGATGTTGTTGTCGCTGCTGTTGATGTTGCTGTTGGTGGTTCTCCTGTAGCGACATCCCTTCCCCCACCTGTCCCCGACAACTGCAGCGATCAGACAGACCCACCAGACCCACCAGCCCTGTGTAGAGGAAATCCTCCGCTTCCCTCACGGACCTCCCTGGACCACACACCTCCCCACACATATTCCCACACACCTCCCCACACATATTCCCACACATCTCCCCACACATATTCCCACCCACCTCCCCACACATATTCCCACCCACCTCCCCACACATATCCCCACACACCTCCCCACACATATCCCCACACACCTCCCCACACATATCCCCACACATCTCCCCACACACCTCCCCACCCACCTCCCCACCCACTTCCACACAGCCTGCCTCCTGAACCACCTCACTTATCGGACAGCTCATTTTGTCCACACACTGAGGACGCACAGACGTCTGCTCTCCGCTCTGACCCAGACCCTTCTCGCCATGTCCCACCTTGTCACATCCCATCTCACCACCACGTCCCATCCCACCACCACGTCCCATCTCACCACGTGACACCTGACCACGTCCCACCTTGTCACGTATCACGTCCCCACGTGAACCTTTCAATCCTTCAACGAGACTCAGAAACTCTCGGAGAACATTTCGTAATTCTTCGTCCCTGGTCTGCACATTGGTAAAAGGTTCATCTCTACCGTGTTTGATAGGGGGTTTAGTGAGAGGAGGACGAGGGGGAGGAGGAGGGGGAGGAGGAGAGGGAGGGGGAAGAGGAGGAGGAGGAGGAGGAGTCTGTAAGACAGCAGCCCCGGCCTGATGGTTCCCAGCAGTCACAGAGGTCTGGTGGTGAGAGCTGAAGTTCTCCAGAAGCTGCAGGAACAGCGCGGTGTCCGAGTTCTCGTCGAGCTTCCGGTCTGTGGTGACGTCACGGCACGGGTGTGTCCAGCTCGGCAGTCCAGACTGAACAGCTGGGTGGGGGGGGGGGACCAGTACGGTTTGTTTTAGTTTAGTTTTAGTAGAGGTTTTACAGCGCTCGCAACTGCATAAGGTCATATGAGCGCCAAGGGGTGGTTTAGTTAATTTTAGTACGGTTTTACTTCACTCTTGCTTCTGTGGGTGGTTGGCAGGTACTCTGGTGTCGTCTGCTTCTTCTATCCTATCAAGCATCTATCGTCCGTATCACCCCTTTCTTCTTTTTCATGTTTGCTACTCTCTTGTAACACCTCTAATCTTCTGGCGCTCATATGACCGTATGCAGTTGCGAGCGCCGTATAACCTCTACAAAAACTAAAAACTAAAGGTTTTACGGCGCTCGCAACTGCATAAGGTCATATGAGCGCCAAGGGGTGGATGTCAACAGAAAAGTCCAAACAGGGAATCAGGCTTACTCTGCTCACCTCTCTAGCTTCAATAGCACAAAGTCTTCTTCGACTATCAAGGCACCCCGGAAATAGCAGGTCACAAGAGAGTGACAAACATACAAAAGAAATAGAGAAAAAATGACAATAGTAAGGATGAGGAAAGAAAAAGCAGCAATTCCCTCTATGTTGTTCCGGCACAGTATGAGCATGACATTGATAAATCAGCCCATTTACAATTCTACTTTACACAAGAACATGTTACTATCCCCCCTTTGGGAATGGCCTAAAGACACTTCAGTCAGTAGCACTGCCCGTAAGATTTCAGATGCCGGAAAAAAGTAAAACTTAAAGGGGGGAGGGAGGCTACACCTGAAGGCTATCTCGCTTATAAGGGAACGGAATTTTACCACATTTCAACATATAACAAGCATAGTAAGGAATCTAAAAATCCGCAATCAAATTGGAGAAAAAAAAATCGTTTCCATGGATAGGGCGGCCATATTGGATTTTGTTTGCACGTCTTACGTAATGAATACCGCTCTTACTGCTCATGGACATTGATTGGGGGTTTTTGCATGCGTGTTCTCTAACATTAGATCTTAAAATGTGTCTGTTGCTTCTTTTCTTAAACGAATTAGAAAATGTTTTACGATTTTTTTTCCTGAGGTAGTATTCAAGTTTGCGGAAAATCCGTGAAAATCCACACTCAAAACACCACCAACAAAAATCTATTCCATAGATCAAAAACATTTATATAATATGTGAAAATTTTATGAAGATTGAATGAACAATGGTGGAGTTATTCAAAAAAGCATAGAGAAAAGTTGTGTTTTGAGAAAACGGCCGATAAAGAAAAATTAAATATTGACTTTCTGAGGAAATGGTGATGACAAACATGTCTTCTATGGGAAGAAATGAGATTTTGGGGCGGGTGGGGGGCGG